AATGCGTCACTTTAATGCATGACGTCAATCCTGACGCATTTATTTGTCATATGAAAAAAAAACATTGCTTGCGATATGCATGCTATTTATTTGTTAATGGCTTGAATTTTGAAATGAGAAAGAAGAGATCTAAGATAATGAGAAATATCAAGTCAAATGAACATCATTTCAATCGAAAACACAAACATTAGTGACGCAATAGTCATGCACATGTTTCCTAGTGTTAGTAGAAGAAAGAGGAAAAGACAAAGCAACTATGGGCTGCTCTATCGTCCACGAAAACACACAAGCACGATACACCAGTTGCTGATTCGAACGCATACAAACGATCTTTTCTGAAAAACACCACTTTGAGAAATAAACTTTCTTTCTTTAGACGTTCACACCATGTCGCTGCTGCTCCATGGTCGTAATTCTTCAATATGCCCAGCCAAAAATACAAAAAAATCTGTTTCTGATAATAACAATCAAGGAAATCTGATGTTTTAAATTTTTGTTTGCGTAAACATGTATGGTCAACGCTCGAATCGATTGTTTTCAAATAACTTTATGTTATCGTCAAAGAGAAGAAAAGATTTCACGCGTATATTCTCATTTCGATCAAAGATAGCTTGAACAGTAATCACGGAGCAGAATTACAGTGTTACTCAAATACCATCATTATCAGCCTTCTCAAAAAAGGTCTTTGTGAAAGAATGCATTATATTTTCATCATTGTTGTGATATTTGTCGCATGTGAGTCTAAACGGTGTTCAATTTTGTCAGAAGTTTTGTATCATTTGACTTGAGTCACAATTACTAATACATACTAGATACACACGAACTTCGCCTTACAACGTTCGCAAAATGTCATAACGAAACTAATATTTATCTCTCGTGATCCTCTCTTCTTCGCTATTCTTTCCCAAGTGAGCAAGAGACGGGCTAACAGACTCGTCTTTTTTCTAGTCATGTCGACCCGTCATGCCCGGTCTTTGTCTCAAATTCGACTATGACATGACTAGTCCGGAATTTTTGGCCGTCATGAAGCCCCGTCTAAATTACCTGATTGACGGGCGACATTACACGTGTCTAGTCTAGTCTTTTTTTTGAGAAGACCTAGTCTAGGACTTGTCTGAAGTCGGTTTATACGAAACATTATTATCTATTGTGCAGAGTAGTCCTGGACGAGGACGTTTTGAAACAAAGACTAGTCAGGACGGACGACAGCGACGCCCGTTCACAATGAGTTTAAAACTGAAACAGTAAGGACGTCAGGGACGGTACATAGAACAAGTTGCAGTCTTGTGTGTAATGGACAAGTCCAGACTAGTCTATATTGAAATATGTAAGGATGAAGATTAGGTTCGACCACGCATACAATGTATTACTTACCCATCGCTTAGACCATTGAGCCATATGATTAAGAAATTAGCTTCTACATGGTCATAATCATTCTAACATGCTATTTAATACAATTTAAAGTTTTTTATGTTCACATTTAAATAAAAATTATTTTTTACTGAATACGACATTATTTGGACAACATTAAAAAAATAAATTCAAAAAAATTTGTCTATTTTTTGGAAAAATATCTTTTGATTATCATTATCTAGGAACAATTAGTTGTATTTAAAAAAAAAATTTAAATGTAAAAATAAAGCTATTTATATTCAGAAGAAACTATTTTTCCATATGATGGTTTAGTTTTAAATTAAAATGATCCTATCTCAACTAGCAATTAAATTCACTTTGCTTAATTGAAATATATTCTTAAATTTAAAATTATTCGAATATTCATATTTAAAATAAAATAACATAAAATTATATTATAAACAAATTAAAATTATTCTTCAGTTTTTTTTAAATATAGTACATCTAATAATTTTAAAAAATATAAATTAACATTCCTCGCTACGAGTAAATATTGTTTATTGCATGTACTCCTAGTTTTCTTTGTTGGTTCCGATATACTCTTACATTTTCAACATATGAAAATACAAAATATAATAAGATATATGAAGACAGGAATGTACAAAGTATACTATCTATCTCTGACCTCATTGTTAATTATAACAGACTCTCTGATTGTTGTTCTATCTTGAAAAGTATTCATAGTATCTTGACGATCGATATAGTTGTAATACGAAAAGTGTATGTTATTAATTACCGTAATCATAATATAACGGATCAATCTTGATCCTCAATTTAGAAAGATTTGAGTACAACACAGAGAAGGGTGTGGGTGTGGGTGCGTGGATGCTCTCTGTATCCACACCCACACCCCACACCCTCAAGCGTACATTGCTACGGAAACATGATCTTCATCAGACAGCTGAACGATATCATAAAATCTCTATGACGAAAAATAACCCATTCTCAGATGCGATCATTCCAAAATAACACAATAAACAAAATGCAGTGAATAAAAAGAGTGCATCGATTAACAACAACTATTTGCATCATTGTGCGGGGTCCTCCTACGCGAAACAATTTCGAAAAAGGCACCCTTCGATTTAGCGTGAGACTCTACAACAAAGTCAGCTGGATTCAGACTCAACTCAAACAGTATTTCGACTACAAGCAGGAATTTTTGGCCGACAGCTGCCTTCAAAAGTGGTACCATTCGATTCAGAATCAGATTCTGCACCTAAGTCAAGTGGTTCCAGAAATAACCCAAGAAATATAGCGAATCCGGACAGCAAAAACCTCGGAATCTGCCCCAAAAAAACAGTATTTTGGGGAAAAGGGGGTATTTTTGGCCGGCAACTGTCCTCAAAAGTGGTACCATACGATTCAGAATAAAATTCTGCGCCTAACCCAAGTGATTTCAGAAATAACCCAAGTAATATAGCGAATCCGGACAGTAGAAACCTCGAAATCCGGTCCAAAAAAACAGTATTTTGGGGAAACAGGGTGGTTTTGACCGATAACCATCCTTGAAAATAGCACCATTCGTTTCAGAATAAAATTCTGCGCCTAACCCAAGCGGTTTTAGAAATAACCCAACTAAAATAGCGAATCCGGATAAAAAATGCCGAATATGGTGCTAACCTTACCGACGTGACAGATAAGAAGAATCTTTAAGTCGAGTCCTTCAGAATACTGACGAATAGTCTTTTCCTGTGAAACAAACCTATTTTTTCTTTGAAATTAATTCTTTTTCTCTTTAAAAAATTTGAAAGAGAAAGGGAATTAATTTCAAGGAAAAAAGTAAGTTAGTTACAAAGAGAAAATGGATTATTTTCTCTTTGAAATTAATTTATTTTCGTCAGCTGTATATGAATCTCTCAATGAAACAACAAGTTTTTTTTTTTGTAGAAATATTAACAGACACTGTTTTGCATTAGAGAAAGCACCTGGTTCGCTTGTACAAAGCTCATTTCGCCTATCAAAATATGAAAATTTCTACTTGTTCGAAAAATTTCCAGGGAGAAAGCTAAATAAGAAGAAAAATTTTGCGGAGGGAAATCCTCCGGCTCCCCCCGCTAATCGTACGCCCTGCCCACCCACCCACATCTACCCACATCCACATCCACACTCACGCCCACACCCACACCCACACCTACACCCTCTTAATTGACAAATTAAGTAAACTTCTCTGTGGAACATTAAATGAATAGTCTTTTAACGAAAATAAAAGAGTGTGATCTAATACAATAAGAAAAAAATATATTCAAAATATGAAATGCTCTTCATCTTTGTGACCCATGGATTTATTGGTCTCTTGAGTCTTCAAAGATTTAAATACAAGCGAGAATGAAACTAATTTCGTTCTTCTTGAATAATGTTGTTGCATACGTAAATAAAAACCCTTACCCTTTCATTCACAAAACATGACTAGGGTGTAAGTGTGAATGAAGGAAAAATCCACGTGTATATCCTGAAATTGTTTTTTAATGTTTCTGTGTTAGATCTGATCTTCTTAGGTTTTTTCTTTACTTCAGCTTCACATATCATCAGCTCGTGTCAAAGCTCTCTGAACAAAGTATGAAGGTTACTTTTAAGATGGTTCAACTATTAACTGTATTCAAAATACGAATGACATATATTAATACAAGAGTTCTAGGTAAACAATACAGAATAAAATCGTTTTTGTTCGTCATATTTGTATTATCTGTAATCGATTACCAACTTCAGCTGTAAATTCGCACAAAAGCCTCGATTTCTTGTCGACAAATCGGACCATTTCAAAGTGAATGATCACAAAGAACGCATGTTGCTAGATGTCCACATGGAATATATGCGAGACGTTTTTCTTCTGTTCAACAGAGTACACAAACATTCGATGATGAAGATTATTTTGTAGAATTAGTGCTTGCTATTCTTTTTGATTGATTTTCGATCATTACAGTTGTTGATTTCGATTCGATTATTTGTTTTGTATTCGACTGATTGGATGAAAATGATTCGTCCGACTTTGATACGGACGATGATGAATCTAATTGCTGTTTCTCATGAATATTATTCATTGCAATACTAGATACTACGATATTTTCTTTCTTTTCATTGATGCGATCTATTTGCTTTTGAAGAATTACGCAAGCAATCCATAAATCACGACCAGTAGCAAAGTCTTTTTCCAAAAACAGAGAATAAGCATAGAAATGTCATGAGAAGAATTCACAAAAAAAAAATACAGAATACACAAAAATTTTTTCGCATATGTTTTTACATTTGATAAGAAAAATTATTCATAGGTTTTTATTTCATTTTTCTGACAATGATGAACAATTTAGAAAACTAATATAAACATTCATAATTAATAATTGAAGTGTAAGTATTTTAATAGAGATTAAACATCAGTTTTTTTTGACAGACATGACAAATCATTTTATCAAAATCATTGAATAAAAAATTCTAATATCTACGTAGAAATATCTAATTTTTTTTCAATAATTTCAATTAAATATTCGTAGTGATCGGATAATACGTTCATTATATTTATTAATATGCAATATAATTAATAGTTTTCTATTTCATCTTTGTACTAAGATAAACAATGTGTATTCAACAAAAAATTAATTGATTTTTATCATAGATAATTTTAATAATCTATTTTTCAAATATGATAAATCATTTGAGTCACAATCTTCCCATGTTAATTCAACAATATTGGAAAATATCTGACAAAATTGTTCTATGCGATTTAAGTTACTGAATATATATTGACTATATCCAGATATATATAATTTTCGAATCATTTTGTTTAAATATTTCTGTAAATCATTATTATTCAATAATGATTGTAAAATATGTGGGGCAATTTTGAGAGAAGATAAATTTGATGCTTCTTTTAAAATTTCCAATAATATAAATGACATTTCCATATGATGATCATTTGAAATACCTAAGTGTTTTATATTAGATAAATTAACAATCGTTCTCAAAGATTCGATATATTCTCTCAATATACTATCTTCATTCTTGTTCCACGTGTATGTTGAAGAGCGTAATGTTAATAAAACCACGTTTGAAAAGCGAAAGCGATGTGAAAATGTTTTTGTTAACACTTGATCATCTATGATTAAATCTGTTACATTATCGAATGTATTGAACTGATTGACTAGTTTATTTGAATATCTTATCGAATCGATTGTTAATATATATGTATTTAATATATAAGGTATTGTATAAATCTCTGCTGAATAATCATGTAAGATATATTCTACTAACCAATGATGTTCTTCTTGCCAAAATTTGGTGTAAAATTGTTCGAACTTATCAAAAATATTATAATCATCTTTTCGATGAGAAATTTTAAATTTAAATTGAAAAGAAGTTAATTGAAAAAGTGAAGATATAATCAATTCTTCCCAACGATAAGCATCAATCATTTCTCTTTCATAATCAATAGATATAATCAAACTTTTTAAATTTGGTGTATGTTTTATGAACATCTGAAAATCTTCAAATTTACATCGAAATTCAATCATAATTAATTGTTTTAAATGAACGCATTGATAATCTTTGAATTCTATTGAATTATTCCAAAATTTTTTACGTTGAGAAATATTTTGACAATTAAGATATTTTAGCATCGGTACAGTTTTTAATATTTTGTGTAGTGAATCTAAATAGCATTTTGGCATTGTTAAATTTGTAATTGATGAAATTTGATCAATAAGTTCTAAATGCTGATATGAGTCTGTTACTGATAATATTCGTAATTTAGACACTGGACACTTAATTAGAATATTTGTAATTGAATTTTTCGGTTGAATCAAATGCAAAACGGACAGTTGAGATCTTAATGGTAAGATTATATTCAATTTTTCTACTTGATCTTCTTCTATACTAGTCAAAGTGAGAGATTGAAGTTCAGGAAATTCATCGAATGAAAATTGTGAAATAAAAGTATTGATTTGACTATATAAATCTGTATTTGATAAATGTAATGAATAAATGTGTATTTTCACATCAGAATTTAATAAAATTTTCTTACAAAATTGATTAAATATCGTTCTACTGACATGTTCAAAATGGAGATACAATCGAATATTTCGAATAAGTGTGTAAAAACGATAATTTAATTGATCAAATGAATGAAAAATATCCAAAGCATTGAGATATTCAAAACATTCGACCAAAATTTCATTTGGTAATAATTCAAATTTCATTATAGATATACTTGATCGATATGTTCTAGTGTAAATGAAATATGTATCAGTAATTACTGCAATATATATTTTTTTGACTCATATAATAAAAAAAACGTCGTATTGCATTGTAGAAAGAAATTACAACATAGAAATAAGAAATGATTCATCATTAATTTCGCTTTTTTTTCAGAAGACATAAACATAATCTTTTCTTTTTTACATTTACATTATTAGGTTTTATATAGCGTGAAAAACAATTGGAACTGTATCTTTGTGTTTTGATAAAGAAATTGATAAATGATTCATTAGTTAAAGTTTCTTATGTCAAAACTGAATAATCAAAACTTTTCATGGTTAGATTTCATCGTGAATTTTTCATATCTGAAAGAAATAGAATTTATTTCTATCAATAATCAAACATTCGACAAGCTTTTCCATGAGTTTTTCGGGCAAATTTCAGGAGAATGAAAGTTGTGGTTACTGTTTAAGGGAACAACTCCTTTCCCAATCCGAAATTTTCAGATCTTTCGTTTTTCATTTTTTGTTATTAGTATATAGATTCAAATGCTCTCTATCCATTCAGCACTCTTTGAGAACTGAAAACCCATATCTTATATATGAAAAAACTCGAAAAAAATGACAAAATATGCTGAAAAAAAAATCAAAAAACTCGATTTTCTTTGCCTTTTCCTCAAAAGTTGGTTTTTCAGCAAAAAAATGAAGTTCTCCCTCTTTTCTCTTACACAGTATGGCCTATTCGGTTGGAACTTTTTTTATAGATAGTTCGATCAAATTTGGATGCGCGTTTCTTTTTTTTCTTTGAAAAATCTTGTTCCTAGTGAATTTTCGTAGGTACCACAAAATTAGCACTATAAGAAAAAGGAACACGTTTTTTGACAGGGGTTCCAGTATTTTTGTTCTGTTGAGCATCAGGAAAGATATTTTTCCAAAAAAATAAAAACACGCACCACAATTCGTTATTAGTTGTTACAGAGAAAGGTGCAGCCCTAAAAACTGATGTATGGTTTTTGCGGAGGAGGAGGTAACTTGAGGTCGTTTTTGTCCCTTGGGCCCTAAATATCTTTGGGAAGAAAGCATTCCGAATCTCAAGTCTATGATAACTTTTGTTCTATTCATCGAGATCTATCTAAATAGAAGAGAATGAAAGAAAAAAACATATGCAATTCAAATCTATTGTTTCTTGTTGTTGTTTTGGATAACATGATTCTGTAAACCTTGATATAGTATGAACAAAAAAGTACTTTTTGTTCAAGTTCGTATTTGTTTAAAATAACAATAAAAATCTTGATGAATTCTGTGTAACGTGTGATGCAAAAGTAATGACATAAATGTCGATCCGCGTTTCTCCTCAATAGAAAGAATGAAGAAAGAAAGTGGAATAAACATTTTTTTATTAGTTGATAGAAATTTTTTTTTTCTCTTTCTAATTGTATATGATTTGTTTTTTTTCACGTATTCATAATCAAAACAACATGAGAAAAAGAGTGAAAACACTTGTAAAACAAATTAGTGATTTTTTATTGATTTAACAGAGAAATTTTATAAATTAATACTTAGTTGTTTTATAAAACAAGTACTGATGAAACGAGGATGCGTAATACAATTACCAAATATTTTATATATTAATAAGCGAAATTGTCAACAAAAAAAAATATTTTCTTTCATCATTTTTCTATTGAAGAGAAATATGAATTGACATTAATGCCATTACTTTTGTATCACATGTTAGTTAGATTCAGATTGGAATTTAGATGTCTTTGTTTTTTTTAAATTAAGATTATCTCGTTATTGACTCTATGAAGAAACTTGCCGAAAAGTTTGACATTTCTATGAAATTTAAAAACAAGCGCCAAACATGACTGAAAATCACAATATTTATTGAGAAGTTCATGGGTAACTAACATCACGTCTCGCACCAACATCCACATGACTACAGAGGTAGGAGGCAATCTTAGGCATAGCAGCTAGTGAGCAGAAAACGAACAGAACACTAAACGCAGTAAACAATTATAAATTTATCGTTCTCTGTTCTTGTCATTTTTTTCTCCGTCATTGCCTCATTCGTTTAGTCACCATGGATTCAACCAAAGGACAAGTAGGAACATTGGTAACGACTCTTATATTCATTTCTCTATTCACACATTCACATTACAGTTACAGAAGTAACAATCATACAAAATTTTATAGTAACTATGGCGTACAAGTTGTCTCCAACTCGTGTAGAATGGATGTGGAAATCTAATGAAGATCCTTGGAATTCTACACAAAAAGAAGACTGGCGTTCCTATTCTGATGTTGAAACGGCTATCATTGAAGAAGCATATCAAAAGAAATTGTCAGAAGCTCTAATCGATGATTATCACATAAATTTTAAAAATTCTGTTCAAATATCAAATTCAAATGAACGCAATCAACGACCTGTCAAACGTATTGAAAGAGGCAGATCGACATTCGAGCCGAGACTCAGAGAAGCAAGATTCATGCCCAGTCCTATTCATCCTTCGACACCTTTTGCCGAACAGAAATTTTTTTTGGGTTTTATTGGGGTAATTTTCGAAATGTTTGACGTTAATGACAGCAATGCCCTAGCAGAACCAGCTAATCGTCGACTGATGATTAAGAAGGCAGCCGAAGGTATCATAACCGAAGGTAAGCTTCTGAGTAAGCAGAAAGAAGCGGAATGGATGGCTCAACAACTTCTAAACGTCATAGATGGAACTGATCAACAAGTCTGGGAATGCTGTGCTCATCTCTATACGATGGAATCGTTTTTATATCAAAAAATGAATGAATATATGAGACTTTGTGGCGATGAAAAGAATAAAGCCCTTTGGAAAAGTAAAGTACACACGTTTGGGCCTTTCGGTTATCTCCTTCAGATGTTGACATATTCGAAAAACTATAACAAATTTTACGTTTATCGAGGAGCTAATTTATCCGATGATTTAATCGAAAAATTTCGCCAGAACATTGGTGCATATCTCATGTTTCCAGCGTTTACATCAACAAGCCGAAATCGAGCGAAAGCTGAACAATTTGGTAATGTTCTTTTCATCATTCATACTAGTTCACTGAGTGGAAACAATGTAGCATCATTCTCAGATTATCCTGATGAAGAAGAAACGCTACTTAACGCCGATTTTAACTTCTACATACGATCTTGTACATTTGATACGACAAAGAACAAATGGATTATAAACATTTCCTCTTGGGAAGATGATTAAGTAGTGACTTTGAAACGAAATATCATTATTCCAGAAAGAATTAGAACATCATTCCTTTTCATTGAATCCTCATTTAAAAAAAATAAAAGCCTATATAAACATTAAACACAGAATACGCGCATCCAGACACGCTTAAAAACCCATATGCACTGTGTTTGGACATCATTTGGTTTGGAATCGCGTCTAAATGCCACTGATTGCTGCAATCTAGATGCAAACGTAATGCACTTCTGACACGGTTAGATACAAAAAATATTGAAGGAGGAATATAGTTGAGACGAGAAAAGGTAAAGTATAAACGATATATGTGTGCTACTCGTCATTTTAAGAGTCAAGCACTCATTCATGCTATGTATTGCCTTCAATAACATCTATAGATTCACAAGTTTTGGAGTTACACATTGTTTGATAAACAGATATAAAGACGCCTACCACACATTTCTTGGATATGTATGAATAGTGAATTATGTATTAAAATTTCTGAAGATTGTCTATTTGTTGGTTTCAAAGACCGAAACGAGTACAAAAAATTGAGACGCGACTCGAGTTGTAGGAGTACCGACTCAAAAAGTACCTGTTGACTTCCGTCCTTCAATATATAAAGTCAGCCAATGTTGACGAGTATAGATAGAAAAAGAAAACATCAAAATGTAGATTTTCAATTTGTTTCGACCCGAACAACGTGCCGCAAGTCTCAATAGTTTTTCAGGATTGTCTTGCATAATAAAGTCTAGCAAGCGAGTGATGTAAGCTAGACATGTTTAGAGAAAATGAACGTTAGTGAGGTCTAGTTTTTTTTTTCTCAGACAATAACCACAAGACAATTAGTCGATCTTGATTCATAATATCAACACAATGATTCAAGCTATCAATGGATTATTTTTTTTGCATCAACTCTTAGTGAAATAGATTATACTTCATACTGAAAATGTTGAACAAACACGACTTTGGGTGTGAGTGTGAGTGGGTATGGGTGTGGGTGTGGGCGTGGGTATGGGTGTATGTGTGAATAAGCAGACACCCACACCCTATATGAAATTTCGAGTCAGAGCTAAGAATTAGTTAAAGTAAGTAAGAATCTTATCAGAGTGGATGTCCATTTTGGTCAACTTCAATATATTGATCAATAAAGCCGCTTTGATCGTTTCTTTTACGAGACACTGAACAGTTTTTCATTTATTAATAGAACATTCAAATTAGATGACAAATGATATTTAAATAATCACGAGAAAAAACCCAGTCTTATAAAACTTTTTTTTGTGAGCGTTACATCTAAGTTGATGTCCAGATTAGTGCAAAATATATCGATTATGACATGAAATCCCATGATAGATTGATTTTTGAATATATTGTAAAGAGCAACGAAGCGAGTTTTTTTCTGAAAATTTTCAACGTAATCTAAGGACTTTAGCTGTTTGTACATTCTTTTTCCACAGAAGTGGCTTGTGCATTTTGCTTTTATTCACTTTCGACTTCTAATATGTTCAGAAAAAATTATTAGTAAAGAATTTTGTTTACTATACAAACTATGAGATGAGCGTAGATCTCAGTGAGAATGGAGAGGAAACTCTTTTTCATTCCATCTGTATTCTTTCAAATATTCATCCAAAAATATAGCCAGGATTTACTAAGAGTGCAGGCACACTGAAATCCTGAAATATGTGACAGTGTTGCATTATAGCACGTAATATTAGTTTACATCGTCGTGATATCGAGCTATAGCAGAGTGCTAATAATGGGCGATAATACAATCCCAATAATAGCAATATGAAA